TATAATGTGCTGTGATAATTATCCTTACTAATCATTAAAATCTCATAGGCTAGCTAACCTTTGTTCTTATGATGTACTTTTCACTACAGACAGAATATTCACACACCTTTTCTATGAAAGCAAAGCCAACCAACCTTGTATGCACTTGACCACTGGGTGCTCCAAAATGTTTGTCTATAACAGCTTCAGAGATCTGAGACATTCTGACATGGGCTAGAACCTCAGTCAGCTGGTCTTTTCTCTCAGTGCTGTCATGATGAAACCAGGTCATTACAGCATCCAGAATAAATTCTTCTCCAGAGGGCCCTAAAATTTTTTTAATGAATTTATAACTGTATGTTTATTTTAAAACAGCAAATTTTGTATTAAGTAAATGATAAAACAAAAAATGATTAATAGTATCTTCATCCCCATTTAATGCTACTGGTGCACTAAATTGGAAAGTGAGTAGATCAAAACTAATTAAATGAAAAACAAATTTAAAAGTTAGTTGCGCAACCTTTACACAATGTTGCAGGTCCAACCCCAGCATTTTTTGGCTGTTGTGGCTTTTCTAGACAAATTTTACATTCAAAAGTTTGCCATTGCTTTCTGAGTGGTCGACAGCTCTCGGTACCACTGTTAAATCCAACATAAGTCCAATCGTCCACAGCAGGGATCGAACCCTGCACCCCGGCATTAAGAAGCACGTTCAACAACGCCTAAGCCACAGACAACGACTATGAAACATGAAATGAAATAACCACTTGCGAAAAACAGTCTCCAGAAGATCATCAACAGCACTCGAAGAGACAGAGTTATGAATAGCATAAGAGAGAAGGCTGGAACAAGACTGTGTCTGTATTACACTGAAAGGCAGAGAACGGATGTTATCAATGCCATGCAAAGCACTTATCATACCAAATAGCACGCCAAAGGATATGACTCAGTATCCCTGTCTAGACTGACGGACATTAGGGTGCAGCCTGGAGCTGCAAGAAATGAACATATCCCTAAGAGGACTAGATGTTTCATTAATCAACACAGAACAGGCATCATTAGTTGTTTTACACTTATAGAGGTATTGAGGAGATCGTAACACCTATGGATCTGTCCGAAGTGCTGTGATGATAATCCTTACGAATCACTAATCACAGAGAGTGAAGTAATTTGACCATCTAGTAAGAACGCAGCCAGACCAAACTGTATATGAGACCTTGTACAGAAAAAAAATATGGGCAGAAGGCAAGAGGAAGACCAAGGAAGAAAAGCATAGATGGTGCAGCTAAATAACATAAAAAGGATAAGAAATTATCACTCAAGTAACTTGAGAAGCACAAGACAGTGAGCTACAACCCTGTAACAGTGTGACGATAAAAGAAGATAAGCTATATGGTTCTAAGCCCATAATTTCTGGGCCAAACAGCAGCTGAAGGGTGAAGTAGTTGGCAATTATTTTCTTATTATTAATCTCTTTCATTTCCTAACGGAGCTAAATTTTTATGATTTTTGGGACTATTTAATTAGGTGTTCTATAGGAAAGAATAACTATATATCATTCCTTCTTGGTCACCCCTACAACATGTGAGGTAGGTTACAGTGTTACTATACTTTGCTTTCCTAAAGGGTCCCAGTAATGGCCATTTAAAAACTGCCATTACTGCCTGTATTCGCCATCTCTGTGGAGTAGGGGTTCTATAAGTATTCGGATGTAGGGGGTCTATAAGTATTCGGATGTAGGGGGTCTATAAGTATTCGGATGTAGGGGGGTCTATAAGTATTCGGATGTAGGGGGGTCTATAAGCCTGGGGATGTAGGGGGGGTCTATAAGCCTGGGGATGTAGGGGGGGTCTATAAGCGTGGGGATGTAGGGGGTCTATAAGCTTAGGGATGTAGGGGGTTTATAAGCCTGGGGATGTAGGGGTCAATAAGCTTAGGGATGTAGGGGGTCTATAAGCCTGGGGATGTAGGGGTCTATAAGCTTAGGGATGTAGGGGGTCGATAAGCCTGGGGATGTGGGACGGGGAGCTATAAGCCTGGAGGTGTAGGGGTCTATAAGCCTGGGGATGTAGGGGGGGGGGGGAGTCTATAAGCCTGGGGATGTAGGGGGTCTATAAGCCTGGGGATGTAGGGGGTCTATAAGCCTGGGGATGTAGGGGGTCTATAAGCCTGGGGATGTAGGGGGTCTATAAGCTTAGGGATGTAGGGGGTCTATAAGCCTGGGGATGTAGGGGGTCTATAAGCTTAGGGATGGGGGGCTATAAGGGGTCTATAAGCCTGGGGATGTAGGGGGTCTATAAGCTTAGGGATGTAGGGGGTCTATAAGCCTGGGGATGTAGGGGTCTAAAAGCCTATGTAGGGGGTCTTAGGGGAATGTAGGGGGGGGGGGGTCTATAAGCCTGGGGATGTAGGGGGGTCTATAAGCCTGGGGATGTAGGGGGTCTATAAGCCTGGGGATGTAGGGGGTCTATAAGCCTGGGGATGTAGGGGTCTATAAGTAGGGGGTCTATAAGCTTAGGGATGTAGGGGGTCTATAAGCCTGGGGATGTAGGGGGGTCTATAAGGGGGATGTAGGGGTCTATAAGCTTAGGGATGTAGGGGGTCTATAAGCCTGGGGATGTAGGGGTCTATAAGCCTGGGGATGTAGGGGGTCGATAAGCCTGGGGATGTAGGGAGTCTATAAGACTGGGGATGTAGGGAGTATATAAGCCTGGGGATGTAGGGGGGTCCTGGGATGTAGGGGGTCTATAAGCCTGGGGATGTAGGGGGTCTATAAGCCTGGGGATGTAGGGGGTCTATAAGCCTGGGGATGTAGGGGGTCTATAAGCCTGGGGATGTAGGGGGTCGATAAGCCTGGGGATGTAGGGGGTCTATAAGCCTGGGGATGTAGGGGGTCTATAAGCCTGGGGATGTAGGGGGGGGGGGGGGTAGGGGGCTATAAGCCTGGGGATGTAGGGGTCTCTATAAGCTTAGGGATGTAGGGGGGGGGGGGGTAGGGGGGGTTCTATAAGCCTGGGGATGTAGGGGGTCTATAAGCCTGGGGGTGTAGGGGGTCTATAAGCCTGGGGATGTAGGGAGGTCTATAAGCCTGGGGATGTAGGGGGTCTATAAGCCTGGGGATGTAGGGGGGTCTATAAGCCTGGGGATGTAGGGGGTCTATAAGCCTGGGGATGTAGGGAGGGGGGGGTCTATAAGCTTAGGGATGTAGGGGGTCTATAAGCCTGGGGATGTAGGGGGTCTATAAGCTTAGGGATGTAGGGAGTCTATAAGCCTGGGGATGTAGGGGGTCTATAAGCTTAGGGATGTAGGGAGTCTATAAGCCTGGGGATGTAGGGGGTCTATAAGCCTGGGGGGTTTAAGCCTGGGGGGGGGGGTCTATAAGCTTAGGGATGTAGGGGGTCTATAAGCTTAGGGATGTAGGGGGTCTATAAGCCTGGGGATGTAGGGGGTCTATAAGCCTGGGGTAGGGGGTATAAGGGGGTCTATAAGCCTGGGGATGTAGGGGGGGGGGGTCTATAAGCTTAGGGATGTAGAGCCGCATGGCTGGTTCTGTTAACACAGACTGTGCAGGTCAGGATTTTATTTTTGCCCCTGACAGAAAAATTCACAACTCTACTAAGGATTCGAATCAGGGTCTCCAGCGTTTTTAACCATTTGGCCATTCTCTTTTTAGGGTCTTAGTATGCAGGGACATAACTAACCCTTTTGCCTCCTTCCAACAACTCATGTAATTTTCCATTCCAGAGCTGCAGAATGAAATGCTAGGTCTGGGGTAGTAGTGGTGTGCCGCGATCTGTAGTAAAATATGATTAGTGGATTAGCTGGCCTATTAAGCAGAACAAGTCTGTTCTCATCCTGCCACTCCTCCAGTTTCTTTCCTCTCTGGTCTATGTGGTCGTAACCCCAGCTTTGTGAGTAGCTATTAAAGTCTCCATATAGAATCATCTTTTCTTTTATTGGGATTATGTCTAATGCCTGGGGACGATCACTTGGGCAGTAATAATTGATCAGGTGGAAATCTGTCTTTCCAGTTAGTATTTTCAGAGTCTGATATTCTGCTCCATCCATCTATACTTCCATCTAGCATGCAATGATATTGTTCCTTATTAGAGTCAGTAATCCACCTTTTTTTCTTTCTGCCTTTCCAGTCTGATTGGAAGCACTGATAGCCTCTGATTTTGAAGACTGTTTCTTCAGTGAGGTTGGTTTTTTGTAGACAGTATATATTTGTATCTGTTCCTCATTTAGAATATTTTCGAACTCTTGCTTTTTATTTGTAACCCCCTTCGCATTCCAGTGCATTAATTTGACTCTTTTCTTAGCTCGGCCAGATGCTCTATTCTCACGTCCCCTGGCTCCACAGGACATTTGAGAAAGACCTCCAGTATTTGGGTTAGGCTTCTTCAAGGTAGAGGGCCCTTCACTGCTCCTGCCTGAAAGTCCATCACACAGCGAGAACTATAACATGTTGCTGACTTAGCATATTTCCATGGCATGTGTGCCTGGCATCCTGACTGCTGTGGTGCGCCTCCTGGCTGGTTGCCTCCCACTTCAGCACCTTGTTCTGCTAGGGTAGACTCTAATCATACTCAAGGAGCCATCTGGTTTTACAGTTCCGCCACGAGAAGGCCAGAAGTTGAACTTTTGTTGTTAGAGGTGATGAATGCACATGCCTTAGGGGTATTCAGTGAGAGCTGAGAGCTTATTCTCAACCCCCATCCCCCAGCTATGAAGGCAATTTGAAACCATCCTTATACTATACACAATGCTATTTTCCAGACAATTCTCAAAAGATTCCAGAAATTATCTGGTACTCACTTTTACCAAGTTATGCTGACCCCAGGGTCTGATGTGGTTATACAAAATCCTGCCACATCTGGTGACTGAACCAGTACCACCGACTCAGCAGGCAAACACACTAAACTCACCTACCTGTCTGACATCTATTTGAGTTATCACTAATCTCTATCTGAAATACTTTTCTATGACAATACATTTATGTATATGTACATTTCTGTTTCTCAGTTTACAGGAGAAAACTTGGATGGCAAACCTGCATTAATATCGTCAAGCTGCAGTAGTCTGGACAAAGTGTGTGATGGCAATTGTAAAAAGCTGCTTGTCAGGCTCACAGCTTGAAACTGCTGAGAAAAAACTAGCAGACAGGCTTTGATAAGTTCCTGGCAACTGTGCATCTGTGCCAGGTGGAAAAGATCTGTAATTATAAGACACAGACTAAATAATTTGGCACCATGAGTCATGTTTTACTAATTTCATTTTGTATGTAATAGTATTTATTTGTAACTTCCTTAGAAAGACCCAGATCTGAATCCTCTGTAAGATGAGGAGAATTTTTCTGTTGGGGGCAAAAACATAAAACCTAACCTTTCACAGTTTATAGTGACTGCAGTGGCCAAGCAGACCTAAATCCTAGAAATCATCCTAAAAAGTGGTTAAAAGGCATTTTGTGCATTGACAGTACAACATTTATGTTTTTCTTCTTTCTGTTCTCTCTAATCATTGTCTTGCCTTTCATTGTCCTGTCGTCAAGATGCATCTGGTGTGAGATGGATGGATGCCTGTATTCAAGGCCTCAGACATTCCCACCTATCTATCACTTGCATGGGTGACCCCTAGCACTGCTTCCACTACATTTGAATGACAGCGCTTTCTGTGGTGCCCTGTCCTGTTGCAGGCTGGACAAATGTCCAAACCATTTGATCTGTTATCTCTTGAGATAATTAAGTGCTGGTTCCATTCCCACTTGTTTCATGATATCGCCATTTCTGATTCTGTCTCTTCTTGTAACATTGACGATTTCTCTTATTATCATTTTTAGTATCTGTGTTTTGGAAAATAAATTGATTTGGTTGATTTGGTGCAATTTTTTTATTTTCTTTAAAGTGACATGTGTTGAATAGTTATAATATTTTTTGTGGGGTATATCCAAAAAGTGGAAAGTAGGGGAGCTTGGCTCCCCCCCCCCCCCCCACCCAGGTCACCAGGGTAAAAAGGTTAAACACAATATGTGTATCTCATTCCCCTGTGAAAATATTACAACCAACTGTGATTTTGTTGTCAGTATTACCTATAGCTCCCATCCCAATGTGGCAAACTATTTTTATCAGGTTATTATTTTAAAGCCTCACTCCGACTGTCATCAGAGGCCCTAAATATAACTGATGGTTTTTGAGACTTGTTTATCTAGGGTTTATCGCTCATTGTGCGCTCTTGGTGGAGTTGAACATCAGTCAGTCAGTCAGTCATTATTACTTCTTCTCGTGTGGATTCCAGGGCCCTATTATAGGGAAAACAAGAATAGGTCCACTGCCTACCCAAAAGCATGTTGTATGAGTCGACTAATTGGGAGCTTCCTTTGAAGTCGGAGTGCACCTGCCTGAGATGCAATGAACCAACAGCTGTGCGCAAATGAGTCATATCTGTAAAACAGATGCACACGCAACACTCAGGTTCTGGGAAAAACCTAAAAGTCCAGAAGTGGATGAACAACCAGAAATTTCCACCAGAGTTTAGAGCTGGTGACTGGTGAGAACGAAGAAGAAGAAGATTATTACCCCTATTAGACGACTGCTAGAACCTTCAAGAACAGAACAAGCTAATGGTAGGACAGCACTGAAAGAAGAAAGACATGTAAGAAGAAATACAAGAAACAAATATTCAAAACAAAACAAAAGTTCCTACTACATATTTTTTTTTTTTAATTAAAAAAAATATCCTGCAAAAAAAATAAAAAAACATGTTAACGTACTGAGGCAGTTGGAAGCATCCAGTTCTCTGATCATGAATTGAGAACATATGCTGGCTATACCTGTCATACCCCACTGATCTGCAACTTCATACACACTCTGAATGTCTGCCGCTTCCACTGAAATACAAAAGCACCATTAACAAAAAATTATTTTTTTTAATCATCAAATTCTAAGCTCTAATTTGACATTTATTTCATATTCGATGACTTCTTCTGTCACAGGCAAAATTTTAAAATAACTGGTAATATGGGTCATAAGGGGTTCAATAATAATTGCCTGGAATGAAGTAACAGAGACGTTTAATGTAACAGAATGGACAGACGTAATAACTATCTGGGGCAGTAGGATTTATAATAAAAGAAACATAAACTAACAGATTAGGTAAAGGAGAATGAAGAGTGAGAGGCAGCAATTAAATTCATTAATTTGTTTAAATCACCACAAATTACTGGTGTCATGTGGGCTAACAGACTGAAATGGTTGGGGTATACAGACAGAATGGCAGATAACAGAGAGGCAAACTTGAGTATACAAGAGAGCTGAAAGGCTATAGATCATGAAGCAGATTCAAGAAGATCTTCATGCAGCTGAAAAGTAATTGCAAATAAACAGTTTGTCACCTAATATATTAAAATACCTGAGACTTTTCCAGGCCATTAACAAAGAGTTTCTTAGCAAGAGGATAACAATGACTGTTAACCGCTCTACCTATGTGCCAGTCCTGACCTACGGGTGTGAGCTATGGCAATGATAACGGCTCACAGAAGCCAGATTCAGCTCTCAGAAATGAGATATTTGAGAAAGGTAGTCCAAGTGACAAGAAGAGATAAAGTTCACAGTCAGACAAAACATCAAGATCTGGAAACCCAGGCCTAACAAACTCAAATGGATCAGTCACCGTTACGATGGACTGGACATATATGCAGAATGGGGGAAAATTGACCACCATGGCAGGTATGGAAGGCTTAGAACCAGGAAACTAGACCCAGGGTCTGCTGGGAAGACAAAATCCAACAGTCCCTGACTGAAAGAGGACTGGAATGGAGCAAAGCCAACAAGAAAGCTGCTGACAGAGAAATCTGGTGATCTCTCTGGCAAACCTCTACACCTAAAGGTAGAAGAAGAGCGACTAAGTATATATTAAAATTTAGCGAGAATATTTCTGATAATTTGATAAATTACAGATTAAATTATCTAGACAGGCTGGCAAATATAAATATGTGATGTCTGTTACATACATATTGTTTTTCAGTCTGAAATGTTTACAGTTTATTCCTCTGTCTTATATCTCCCATGAAACATAGGCATTCAAACAATTCACACGCAGGCTATGTGTAGACTTGTTCATGGGTGGCCAGATTTAGCAGCCAAAGTCTTTTCTATGGGATGTGGTAGTCCGCTTCACCCAAGACCCTCTTTAGTTGCCTCACACAACATGTTCTTTAGGTTATAGTGTTACTATTTCATGCTTCCATTATTAACTCAAGTAACATGTGGGTACGTCTGATATTCTGAAAAGATGTTGAGGAGTGGATCAACTTCACTGCACCGTCTTTGATCCCCAATGGTTCAGTTTCTCTGAATAGTGTCGTACAAAGCATCTCTTCACAGTGCTGCCCAAAGAATTAACTCTGAATTTCCAGCAATGACTCACCATGGATCTCTCAAAAACCTACACTTATGAACTAAAGCCCAAATAGAATACACATTGTTCAAACTGAGTCAAACAGCTTGATAACTTCCATTGTAATTCTTGTTCAGTGGTCAATGTTTGCAATGCATCTATTCCAGCCATGGGTCACAAGTCACAAGAATGACAAGTCGCACCTCATAGTTTGTCATGCAAGGTCACTCCTGTGGGTCATATTGCTACTTCCAAATTTAGTTGAAATTACAAAATAAAACAGATGACAAAACAAACAACGCCTATGTTACCTTGTAAAGTTCCTTTGTAAACAAAACTGGTGAGTTTAGAGACAGCCTGAAAGTCTGTATCATCTCCCAGTTCAATCAGTGTCTTGGAAGATTCTTTAAAGTTATCGGAAAACATCGCATGAAAGTAAGGGATATACTGTTTTAGCACTTCCTTATATGATGATACTTGTGTTTTCTCAGAACCTACCTAACAGAAGATAAGAATGTATTCTCATGGAACAAAAACAGTACTGTGAAACATACTTCTGTGTACTGATAATTAAAGAAAGTTCTTATCTATGTAAAACAGACCTCCAGGGCGACCAACATCCGACAGTCCCTAAATGATAGAGGACTGGATCGGAACAAAGCCAGAAAGAAAACTGCTGATAGAGAAGTCTGGCGATCTCTCTGGCAAACCTCTACACCCCAAGGTAGAAGAGGAGCGACTACGTAAGTCTTATTTATGTAAATAAGAATATCATGATGTTTGTCGAAACAAAATTTCCATACCAGTTTTTATATGAACTAACAAATTAATTAATCAAGTGCCATCTTCATGATAAAGGCTAGCTATAATGGAAGCAATAAAGATTGACTGTAAAATAAAAGTTGAGGTAGCATTTTTTTTTCCAGTGTTCTCGATGTGTTTTATGTGTAATTCAGTGTTCTTTTAAGGATGAAACTGTGGCAGGTCTAGCAAATCAGCAGTGGATTTAAAAGTTTACAAAAAAACTGCTCTAGAAACTGTATATGACATTAGGAAATCCATCAAACGTAACAACAAACAGGGCTAGAGAACAGGTAAGCCATCTCACACTAAATGTAAATTTGCTCCAATTTTAAAACACCCTGCTATCCTAATAGAAACAATTAGGAAAATTTTAAATACAATATTTATACCGACTTAAGGTTACCAATGTCAGACTAGGACATTGACAAAAGAATAAGAGAGAAAACTAACTACCTGTGAGATGAGACGTTTGAGAATGGCCGTGAATAAAACCAGAAGAGATCGAGTGAGAAACAACGTGATCACAAGAACTGTTGGAACAACACCCATTGTCAAATTTATTGAGAACCAAAGAATGAAATGGTTTGGCCATCTAATGAGAATATAACAAACGATGCCAGCAGCAAGAGCGTACAACCTGAAAATCAAAAAGAGGCAGGGGAAGACCGAGAAGATGGATTCGAGGAGTTACTGACCCCTTGAGCCTACATAACATCACAGCATATCAAGCGACTGAGCGCGCTCTGGCTCGACTGCTGACCTTCTGATGAACTTTGACACCTAGCCGCATAAGCAGATATTGACAAAAGAAGAAGAAGAAGAAGTGAGAATAAACACATGGCTTTTCTATCAACAGCACATAGTTTTCAGTCCTGGAATACATGCTCAGTTTTTTAGGTGCCATGGATGATGTCATCATACTAGTCCACTTTTTTTCCAAAGCAATTTTCCTGTATTGTTTTAAGGCTGGGTCAACCTAGAAGTCCAGATCTTCTTCTTCTTTGTTCACTGGCTGTAAGCTCTGATGGAAAGTCCTGATTGCTTGTCCACCTGGACTTTGACTTTGTGCCAAGGCCTGCCTTTTGCTTGTACATCTGTTTTACTGGCCTATTTGTGTAAGCTCATTGTTCCTTGCTGCCGGGCAGATGCACTCCGACTTCGAAGGAGGCCCAAGTTAGCAGACTCCTTTAACATGTTTGCTGAGGAGGCAGTTGGTCTATTTTTGGCTATCTTCCGAATAATGGTCCCAAATTATCGAGGCTGAAACTATGCCTCAACAGGGCCTCAGTTACATGTAAATTGCTGACTTCTGCCACCACCGAGAGTATCTCCCACGCCGCTACGTGCGCGCGGCGTGGGGCTAAACTAGATGGCTGGGGCTCACGAGCAAATAAAATGAAGGAAGCTGCAGGGGTTGCGGTAGCTGCTGCTCGTGACTCCTAGCCATCTAGTTTAACCCCAATCCAAGCCATGCGTAGCGGCGTGGGAGATACTCTCAGTGGTGGTGGTAGTCGCCGGAAGTGTGCAATTTAAGTCACAGGAAGTCCACAATTTACATGTGACTGAGGCCCTGTTAGGGTATATTTTCGGCCTTGATAATTTAGGGCCGTTATTCAGAAGCTAGCCCTATTTTTCCCCCACAATGGAGTCCTAAAAACCCACATGGGAAGAAAGCTCAGATAAATATAAAACACCCATCTCAATGTTGATTCAAACCCACGATCAACAGGCGAGCATGCATTTATGTAGTTTTTGAGAATTCTCGGCTATCTTCCGAATAACAGTAACGGTATAGTCCACAATGTGGCGGTGGCTGTATAGTCCCCAGAAGTCCACAACTAACATGTGACTGAGGCCCTGTTAGGGTATATTTTCGGCCTCGATAATTTGGGACCGTTATTCGGAAGATAGCCGAATTCTCTAGTACAAGTTAGATTTTTTTTTGGTTCTCCTCCGAACTTCTACCCTGCGCGTAGCGGCGCGAGGGATACGGTCGACGGTGAGGCATAGTCACAGAAACAGGTCCGCAATTAACATATCGCTGAGACCCTGTTAGAGCATTCGTTTCGCTATACGGAGCCGATCCTAGTTTTGCTGCGATTCGTTTCGTCGCCGGAAGTTCGCATATTTTTAATATTTTAGGCGGCCATAATGCGGGGGTAGAAGTTTGGAGGAGAGCCTTTTTTTCCTGTTAGAAAGAGAGAGGTAGAAAGATAAAAGCTGATGCATTGAACTTTTAACAGAAACATTACACAAGTAGAAATATACAGTCTGAATACAACAAATAATCACCTGCAATATAACATCAGGCTGGCTGTGTTCGGTATATTCATTTATCTGTTGTTTATGGGTCTTTCTGTTTTTCAAGGAAACTGTCAGAACACCATCACTCATCTGAACCTTACATCTATCTTGCTCAAAGACATCCCTGTTTTAAAAAAAAAACCACTGCATAAACTGTTTGACATTTTTAAAAAAAATCAGAACTAAGATGATTTATTATAAGGTCATAGCAGAGGTTTTTTTTTTTCAAGGGATTTCAACACCCCTAGAATATTTGACTTCCCTGTGAACTCGGTAATTCCTTTATTTGGGATGGATTAATAAATAAAGTACGAGTGTCCTTTAATCAAAAACAATTTATAAACAAATAAATGGGTTTACTATACCAAAAAATAAGCATACGTAAACTTTTTGTACAACTGTAGGATTAGTATATTATTGCCTACTATATATATATATATATATATATATATTATATATATATATATATATATATATAGTATATAGCCTATATATAAATAATATTAATCTTCTTCTTCTTCGCGTTCACCAGCTGTACACTCTGGCGTAAAGTTCTGGTTGTTCGTCCACTTCTGGACTGCAGTCCTGCTCCAGAACTTGAGTGTTGCGTGTGCATCAGTTTTACAGATCTGATTCAATTGAATGTAGACTGCTGGTTCCTTGCCTCTCAGGCAGATGCACTCCGACTTCAAAGGAAGCTCCCCAGTTAGTCGACTCTTACGACATGCTTTTGGGGAGGCAGTGGGTCTATTCTTGTTTTCCCCACAATAGGGCCCCGGAACCCACACGGGGGAATAATATTAATATAGTATGGGCTCTGTGGCTAAGTCGATGCGAACGCTTCGTAATGTCGGGATGCCGGGTTTGATCACAGCTGCAGACCATGAGCCTTGTGTTGGGTTCGACAGTGGTATCAAGAAAGCCGACCGTCCAGCAAGCAGTGGCAAACTACTGGACGTAAAATTTGCTTAGAAAAACCATACATCAGCCAGGGGCTGTTAGGGTTGGTTCTGCAACGTCCAGTAAAGGATACGCAACTAACTACAATGCAGAGGGGTTTAACATATGGCTACTTATATAGCACAACACAATACATGCATCATAATCATATTTACATGTATTTGCCTTGTTTTACTGAAACTAGGAAATGTAATCATCCAGGTTATTGTTTAACATGTAGATTTTCCGTCAGCGTTTATTTTGACGAGAGTTGCCAAAGTATTGTTCATTTCTGGCTAAATTTTCTGCTAAATGGTGCTGTATCCAGTTTAGCTTTCGACGCTCGGAAGGTACCATATATTTAATTTCTTAAAAGTTTCCTAATTTTTGTTTCACGTCTTTAAATACTGTTTTAATGCTACAATGTAGATCCTTTAGCTTTATTTCGCTCTGTATTATTGTGTTTTGTTTGTTGCGACTTGCTGATGAAGGCATGCCACTGCAACGTTTTTTTTCGGAAAGCTGACATATATTTCGTGTTGTGTAACTGATTATGTTGTCACAGCTTTTGCTGAAGTTCACAAATGTCATTCTTAGAGTCCATGTCGTTTTAGTACGGATCGACAAGACGAGTCGCTCCACAGCCGTCTGTTTCGTGTGCTGTCAAATTCACCTTTCCGTCTTTTCAGACCATAGTGTTATAATGGGTTAAAGGAACCACTAAGAAACTCGAGAGGATCGACTTCCTTCCACCGGGTATTTACCCAGTATGGCTCGACTTATCTCCACAAAATGGATCCCCTAATGCCGAAAGCGTCACACAAAGCACGAACACCGTGGCTGTGGCGATGACCTCCAGAGATCTGCGTAAAAATTGCAAACATAAACCGAAGGGCACAGTCGCGAAACGAACTAAAGACTTTCAGAGCGCAAGGCAAACGACTTGACATCTTCGCCAAAGAGACCACCACCCCTGCCCTGTCCCCCCCCCCCCCCCCCCGAACCACATCTACAGCTCAAAGACTGGGTAGTATTGCAGAGACCATGTGTTGCCAGTGCAAAATGACCCCTCTCTCCCATGCTTTGTCAACTGCGGAGGAAATTTAACCAATACGTTTGGAACAAAACATCCAGCAGCTGTATAAGCTGCTGATTCAGAAGAGCAATGCTCTCTCCGCATGTCTGAGCTTCACTCATCGACCATTCGAAAATCGCACTTTACCTCCCTCACCTGGATCTACACACCTGGTCATGCGCTCGTAAAGAAAATGAGCGAGCGGACCAGCTGGCAAGCATTGCACTAAGGCATGTGGGAAGAAGTATGGACAGAGCAGATATCGTCAACGCTGTACTAATTGGGCCAGTGGATAATGAGGAATCCCTGACACTAACACGATTGCGTGACATGGGAGTAAAGCATAGTGAAGCACGTCTATGCCGTCTTTGAGGCCGAGATAGGAGACATTATAACCAGCTTCTCATGGGAACAATTAGTAGAAGTACTTTGGAGTGTCTGCTGCATCGGAGGACTGAGCACGCGTGGGGATGCCTAATGTGCAGTGACGTCGATTGTGAAAGTATAACATAACATACGCACTTCTCATCACCTAGGCAACCAACAATGCATATCACAGGACACAATTTCACATATAAGGACATTTTATCACAGTCATTGTATAA